TAAAGAAGTTAAAATATTATACAAGCATATTAGCTTAATTTCCTCAAGATTTAATTTCCGTCCACCTGTAAGTTTACTATTTGATAACAACTAACACATCAAAACCAATAGTTGTCAAAAAAACAGTTTTTTTCCAAGGAATCAGCAAAAGTAAATGCTTTTTGGCTCACTGAAAGCCATTCCAGTGGCAAATCTGGTAGAAATAAGCACATTTTACTCAACACCAAACCAGCTATAGATTGACCTCACTTAACACAGGACTCACTACCAGTGCCAGAGCGGAGTGTGCAGAGTTGTTATATAAGTTCCCTCTGGACTGAGCAAGCCCAGGGCTGAGCTGAAGGAGAGAGACATCCTTTACACCCTTCACAGTTTATCCTTCACCCCAGTCTCAGGCATTCACAGGCTGGTGTACGTTCATTTCTTCCAGAAAGCATGATTTTGAGGCCAAAATGCAAACCTCTAAAACTTTAAAATTATACATGAAATGAGCAATACATCATTATTTAGAATGAAAAGGAGGCTAATCTTTTGATTATGTACTATATATCAGGCAAGAAGTGAGATGCTTTTCTGATGAGATCTTATTTAAACTCCACACTGAACTTGAAAGAAACAACTGTGAAACTGCTTTCCACACTGAAGTCCTATGAAAATTACTAAGGAAAAATATAATGCAGAGCCCTCATTAACATGACTACTCTGAACAAGCAGGTGAGACTATAGCATGAGGCTACCTCTGCAGAACAGTCACCGTCCTCTCAAATGTTCTCTCCCAGCAAAACCTAAGTCTCTTATCAACATTAATAGTAAATGTGGGGGCGTGGAAAACCTATCAACCGCTCAATGTAACCCATGGAACAGTCTCCTGTGGTAGGAACCAGCTCAACAGCCTCAAAAAACACTTTTCAGCCTCACCCATATGACCCTTGAAAAACAGAGAAAACGGATGATTCAGCAGCAAATCGTGAGGGAGTCGTCACCTCCTGTGCCCAAATGAAGGAAACTAATGTCTACTTGGTAATCATAATTTAAAAAGTGTTTTGTTTTTATCTAAATCAGGATAACCAAGAGAATACGTTGAGAGAAGAGACTGAAGTCAGACTCCTGGGAAACACCAAGATGAGAAGAATAGATAGTGCACCTGAGTTATTCAAAGAGGTCAGAGAGAAGAGGCCAGGGAAGTAAAAGAAAAAAGCAAAAAAATGGCTTCACAGAAACCAAAAGGATAAGATTGTTTTAAGAAATGGTGGCAAACATCATTATAATTTTCTATTTTATTTTCTCCCTTCAACTTGTATCCTCTTCATTCCTTCTTCTTCCTGGTAAGGCATTATGACCATTTTACTTCTGAGATGATTTTATCCTAACGGCCCACTTTATACATGCAGAAACTAAATCAGAATTTGTCCAGTCTCAAACAACTACTGCTTATCCTTGCTGCTGTCACTCAGGACGAAAACAGTCCTAATCCAGGATTTAATCTAAAGCTAGATCATCTTCCTAGCTATATTTTAAGTAAACATTACCATCATCCTGGTACCATCATACCAGAAGATAAAAAGCAAAAAGTGGAGGGAAACACTTATATGCAATAAACTGATTTTTCATGAAACAATATCATAATCCAGGTAGATCCTAAAACTATACATTTTTCACATGGTTATTACCTACTGATCTGAAATGGCCTGCAGAGGAACACAGGGTGGGTAGGCTGAGGGAGAAAAATTGCCCAAAGAAGAACTTTCTTGGAGCAGTTCCATCTTGTCTGGCCCCGGGGGAATGAAGATCTATGCTGACTTACAGAGGCAGCAGGGCACTGGGTGGTGTCCAGAGGCCTGGTCTGCAGTAAAGAGAAACAATGTATCTGCTGGTTCCTTCCAGTGTATACACTATGTACCACATGAACTTCAGGTGATGTTTTTTCTTTCTCCACACATATTTTTAAAACCACTGTTACAGAGATAAATCTTCCAAAGGTAGAGGTGTATAATTAAGCTATATTCTATATTCCAAGTGTTTTAACCGAGCGCATTCGAAGATACAATTGGCTTTGTCAAGCGATTCATGAATTGGGCAGCATTCCATCCAGCCAGTAGAAGGGTGCTCCCTATCTCTTTGTTTTCAAGTCCTGCTTTGTTCATTTACATTATACATGTTTCCTTCACATTATTAAACAATCTTGAATTTCTGCATGCATACACAACCGCGTATTTACAGATATGCCATCACACTAGACATGCATTTTATGACTGCTATTTCACTAAACAGTCTAGTACAAACACCTTTTCGTTTCAGTTAACCTACATCTCCTGCCTCATTTTCAATGGCCACATAATACTCCATTGTTGGATGTACTATAACTTATCTAGTCATTGACTATCAGTGGGCATTTAGGCTGTTTCCAATTTTTTTGCTGTAGTGACCAACTCCAGAGTGAAATCTTCACACATAGTGACTATTTCCTAAGGAGAGATTCCTGGGAGAGTACAGAGGGTCAAAGAGTGATAGCACTTTAAAAGGCCATTCAAGGTACAGACAGCAGGCTCCCGGTTGAGAGTGATCATTAATTAGTACTGAGAGCTGTGTTGAGTGCTCTACAGACATTATATTTAGTCCTCATCACCACCCGCCTCCACCCTGTGATGCCTCATCATACCCATTCTACGTGGCTACTGGTAAGGGAAGAGCGGCAGCGGGCCAGGCAGCTGGCCCTGCTCTGACCACCACATAAAATGGCCTCTGCAGGGGCTCCTTTTGGGGATAAGAACATTCTCCGAAAGACTGCAAACTGAGAAGGAACTGGACTTGAAAAGCAAAATGGACACCCCCCAAGAGTGCTGTGGCTAGTCTTCCCAGACTCCAGGAGGCATTCTCCATCTCGAGGAGTTCAGAAAAGAAAGAAAACAGCACTGGGCAAATGAGGGCTAGCAGGTGATGGCGGGAAAAGCCACTCATAACGCCTGGCCAGCAAGTCCCTCCTTCTGTCCAGTGTCTTCACTTGGCCACACATCAAACTCCAGCAATCAGGACTCCCTTGGGTGTTTGTCTGGGTCCCCTGCCAGGACTGGGCCAGGGAGAGGGTGCACAGAGCCTGGCCCCGGGCAGGCATAGGTGCTGCGTGAACAAAGAACTGACTGCAGGGACCTGTTCCATTGTGTCTTTCCAACACGCACTCCCCACTAAGCCACAGACACGATGACATTTGTGCACCAGGACATCCATCAGAGTATTATTTATAGAAACAAAAGTATGGAAAACAAGGGCCAGCCCGGTGGCACAAGCGGTTAAGTGCGCACGTTCCGCTGCAGTGGCCCGGGGTTCGCCGTTTCGGATCCCGGGTGCGCACCGGCGCACCGCTTGTTAAGCCATGCTGTGGCGGCGTCCCATATAAAGTGGAGGAAGATGGGCATGGATGTTAGCCCAGGGCCAGTCTTCCTCAGCAAAAAAGAGGAGGATTGGCAGTGGATGTTAGCTCAGGGCTGGTCCTCCTCACAAAAAAAAAAAAAAAGTATGGAAAACAACTGATTAAATAGCTACAGTTTTTGTGCCATTAAACACTGTGCCAAGTTAAAAAGCACGAGGTCAATCCAAAATGTATCACCATCTCATCACAACCAAAGTCACTGCTGACTGTGACATGCACCATGACTTTATGTCGCATTACGGGAAAAAAGCCAATTAAACTATGCTTCACTGATTGTACAAGAAGCCCAATTTCAAATAGTAAGATGTGGGGAAATACCATAGGTGGAAAAACCAGGTGCAGAGTAATGGTAGGGCATGCTAGTGTGTGTCTGTGTGTGTGTGTGTGTGTTTAAAGGAAGGGGCTATACAATCACTTGTGCTTTTTTATAGGTATACAAAACTCCTGGAAAGATACACAAAAACCTGATAACAAGAGTGGCCTCTTGAGGTTGGGTTGGGTCATTGGGACACAGGGTGGAAGGGAACCCCTCTTTTCATCATTACATCTATTTGTAAACTCTGACATTTTAAACTATATTCCCTTTTTAAAATAAAACTTTGGGGCTGGCCCCGTGGCGCAAGTGGTTAAGTGCGCGCACTGCGCTGCAGCGGCCCGGGGTTCGCCAGTTCGGATCCGGGCACGCACAGAGGCACTGCTTGTCAAGCCACGCTGTGGCAGCAGCCCATATAAAGTGGAGGAAGAAGGGCACGGATGTAGCCCAGGGCCAGTCTTCCTCAGGAAAAAAAAGAGGAGGATTGGCAGATGTTAGCACAGGGCTGATCTCCTCACAAAAATAAATAAATAAATAATATAAAACTTTGAAAACTACTACCTGCAAAAGTAAAGAAAGAAAAGAGCCCATCCTTCTCGATTAACGGGCATAGTATTTGGAGCCTGCCTTGGATCTGGAAACCGTACACCCAGTTCTAGCTCCCCCAGAGCGACCTCAGGCAAGTTCCCGTCCCTACTAGGTCTCCAAGAGCCACCGGGTGTCGGAGAGCGGGTCTCGGGACATCCCTCCAGCTCGGAGCCCCGGGCAGGCCAGGAGCCCACCCCGGCGCTCTGGTCCCGGGCCGGGCAGCCGTCTGCGGGCGCCCCGCGGTGCAGGCCCGGCCAATC